TGTTTTTTTGGCTTGTAGCAAACATGCAAAGTTTGAAGACTTCGAAACATGGTTTAATATAATTTTGTTTTAAAGTCTAACGCATGAATTCCCAATCAAAAATTTACTAATGGCGCAGTACTGGCGCAGTACTGACAAATACTGGCGCAGTACTGGCACCCAGTATTGGCGCCAGAGTTGGCGTAACTTTGGGATGATAACATTTTACCAGTATTGGCTACCAGAGTTGGCACCAGTATTGGTAACCACTACTGGTTCAGTACTGGCCGAGTACTGGCAGTTTTGTAATTTATTGTATACGAAAAGAAAGCTTTAACTGAAACAAAATTAGTTTACGAATTAACTCATCACAAATATAATGATTTCATAAATAATGAATACTAAATTCCTGAAATTAGGTAATTATTAAAAAAATGATCTAAATTATTTTTAAATTAACATTAAATTTTTGTTTATAATTCACTTTTGGAAAATAAACTGAAGAATAACATCCAGAAACAAATTACAATAATTTTATTGACCATTGAAATATATAAGTTTGTAGGTTTAACTATTTTTTATAATTTCTATTAAGAAAGGTTAATTATATATTTTATATTATTGATAATATAACATTTGTGCAATTTTACTTGCGATTGTATTTAATTCTTTAAATTAAATTTATATTATAAATTTTATTTTAAAGAATATTAATTTTTTATAAACAAATTTATTTATTTTTAGTTTAATCGTTTAAATTTTTTTTTGGTTTATTTCATATCTGAAAATAAAAAGAAAATATTGCAAAATGTTTTAGACTTAGTCTCAGGAAACTTTTTCTTTAAATAATTTTACACACAGAAAAGAAAAATAAAGTGCATTTTAATTTTGAAAAATAAAATCAAGTTGAAAAAATTTTAATGAACAAAATATTTAAACAAAAAGATTCATCGGGTTCACTCTAGAACTTTTTTTGTAAACTAGTATTAATCAAAAAGAAAACCTATTTGAGCCAGTACTGGCTCAATATCGGCTCAGTACGGGTTTGCCAGTACTGGGAGGGTGGTACTGCACCAGTACGGATACAATGAAAATACCAGTACTGGTTCAGTACAGACTGCCCAGCCTCGGCAGCCAATACTAAACCAGTACTGCGCCAGTAGTCAACTCTGGTATAATACTAAAATTTTTGGTTGGGTTTTTTCATTTTTACGCCTACTTTAATAAGAAAGGATGACAGAAAAAAATTTTGAGTTCCCTTTTTACCACCCTCATATATATAGGGCCATCCAAAAAAGCCTTCCGGCAGGGCGGGCGCTTGGACGTTCTATCATTAATAGATATATTTGTGGAAATAATCGCGGGATTTTTTATTAATATTTTGTCAAAAAAATTTATTCTTAAATTTAAAAAATTGCACGTTTGTGGCAATGACTAAAATCGTATGTTTGACATATTACACACTAAAAAAGAAATCTTGATTTCAGCATATTTTTGAGGCTGAATTTAAGGTGTAAACGGAGTCAGACCAATTAAAAAAGGACAGACTTATGCAAAATATATGGGCTTAATTTAAGGTGTAAACGGTTTAAGACTTTGTTTTTACTGTGTAAATTTTCCTCAAATATGTAATTTTTTAAGAATAAATTTTTTGATAAATTGCAAATAATCTGACACATAACAGCGGGATTCTTTATACTAATTTTGAGCTCTCCACAAAATTTTAGCTCAATCTATGAAATATTTTTTTAGAAAACCTGTGGAGAAAATTTACATGTGAAATCACAGAACCTTAAATTCTCTAATTAAATAATTGAAAACGAATTAATTAAAATTAACACATTGCTATTTGAAAGTAAAAAAAAAGGAAAAGAAGCAAAAATTAAAAAGTTTAAATTTGGAAAATTTGAGAAATTTTTAAAACAATGTCTAAAACACTTTAGTTGCTACATACTACATATATATGTGTTGAAAAAAAGACTCGACATTCACCCACATTCGTCTCTTTAACGTTAACATCTGTGGATAAATTCGAAAAGGCAGACGGCTTTGTGACCTCGAGCTGACTTCTCCTGTTTAAGAAAAACTTCTTTAGTACCACTTTTCAGTATAATTGTCGAGAAAAATGGCACAAGGAATATCATTTCCATTTTACGCTGATTCAGATTACCTGCGTGATCATTCCAATCCCAGAAAGTAAATCCACTTTTAAAACTTTCATAGCTCTACGATTCTACTTATTGAACTACTCTCAACAATAATACGGTGCTACAAAAAAAAATTTTAATATGGAGGTTGTAGGTCATAAAAAACTAAGAAGAATTGTATATTTAAAATTTCCTAAACACCCCCAAATTTTCATTTTAGAGCTTGAAAACCATGTTTACATATGTTTATGTATAAAAACTATTGTAACTTCTCTATTTCTTCAACGCAGATTTCAATTTTTTTTAATTTTTGAAGCTGAGAAACAGAGCTTTTTAACCCATATTCGACTTTTTTGTTAAATTAATATTTGGGTAAGACTCCGTCAGAAATATCGCGATTTGCAAAGGGTCTTTCGATTTCTCTGAAACTGGGGGAATTAATAGTCTTAGGTAAGATAGTTTAAACCTCCAAAGAATTTTTCAAAATTGTGCCCGCTACGACATTTTTAAAATGAGTGCATTATTTTTTGAAAACTATATTTTCGAAACTGTCAAATGGATTTTGATAAAAATTACAGACAATATAGCTAAATATAGGGGTGAGTGGGGAGTTGTGCCCAGGTGAAACGATTCTACGGAAACTACTCCACAGAAATTCCGTAAAAATTATATACGGAATTCCGCAATAATTTCCGCAAAATTTTTGAAAGAAGTTCTTTTGTAATTTTGCGAATTTTTTATAAGAATGACACACATAATCTCTATACAGAATTGCAAAAAATTTTTGTTTGAATTTCACAACTGTACACTGAAAAAAATTTAGCCGAAATCCTCAACTACCTTTAGTTAACTGACTTGAAAGTAGTAAAAGTAACTACTTTTTTGATTATTTTAACTATGTGCGTGTAGTCAATTTAATTATTTTTTATGGAGTTAAGAATTAGTAGTTAATTGTACTTAACAAAAGTAGTTAAATCAACTTTAAAAATTAGAACAATTACAAAATCTCCTTGACCCAACTAAATTCTTAGTTCTTTTAACTACTTCTTAATAGTCCATACAACTTTTTAAATTCAGTTAAGGACCTATTGAACTATGCAGGGTAGTTAAAAAGTAGTCAAATCTACTAGTTTTTTTATTCAGTGTATTTTTTACTGATTTTTTTGTAATTTTAAAATAACTGCTGGTGGATACACTGAAAAAAATTAGTCGAGAAATTCAACTACCGTTAGTTAGTTGACTGAAAAATAGTAAATTTCTTTTGGAAAACGTTTTATTGACCTCTCAAATAAGTTCGACTAGATATTAATTTAAATTCTATATTATATCCACCAGGAACATCATCGTCGACTAGTTTTCGTTATAGTAGCAGCAGTTATTTTAAAATCACAAAAAAATCAGCAAAAAATAAAGTTGTGGAATTTTATTGAAAATTTTGTGAAATTCTGTATGGAATTCTTCCAAAAAAATTCGCAAAATTACGAAAGGAATACTTTCAAAATTTTTGCGGAATTCCGTATGGAATTTCCGTGGAGTGATTTCCGTAGAATCGTTTCACCTGGGGTGCTCCAGGTTTTATTTTTCAATCAAAAGTATTAAATAAATTTTTTTTAACTATTCTATTATATAGAACTTTTAGTACACGTACAAACAAAACTTTTTGGCATGATCGATTAATTAAAATTCAAAACGGAAATAGAAATTTTGCTTGTTTTTCGAAAATACTGGTTTTATGACTTTTCAAAAACAGTGGGGAGTTTGTGCTCCACTGTTGAAAATTGAAGAAAAAAATATAATTTTTAGAATATTCTTTATTTAAATTATGAAATGTGAAAAAGTAAGATAACTTACATGAAATAAAGTAATTGATAAGATAATAAAAGATTAATTTTAGATAATTTAGATAAAATTAAATTATTTTAAAAATAATTGAATTAAACTAGGTAATTAATTTCATTTACAGTGAATACAGATGTAAAAAGTATCATTTCACTAAAGAACAATATTTAAATTGCATAAAACATTCTTATTATTCATAATTATTAATGACAGCTAATTTTTATTCATTAAACATTGTGATCACTTTGAAAATATTAGTGAAAATGACCTAAACATAAAAAGACAAAAAAAACTTTTATAACAAAATTTTAACTCACTATCTGTAAAGACACGAAAAAAGCTTCCAAAAATGACGGGTACCACTTAAAAAATTAGTTCTTAACGAGAAAAGAATATGCCAATAGTTGAAATTTGTCTTAATTGCCATAATAGAAAAATTAAGGTGGACCACGACTCCCCACTCTTCCATATGTAGTTTAATTTAATATTATATAACAAAAAGTTTTCAACCAAAAAAAGTAAAAAAATTGGTGCGCGCCTTTACAAAAAATGCAATATCTCGAAAACTATTAAAGTCTCCATAGTTTTCTTGGTCTTAAAATAAAGTTGAAATTATAAGGGATATTTTACTTTTTTTTAAAAAAAGAAACTCAAAAATCGGTCCCGTTTGAGTAAAAACGATACAAAAAAATTTTTTGACTTTTTTTGGGTTCAAATTCAAAATTTTTTTATATGTAACACTTCGAAAAAGTATGTTTTAAACAATAACATATTAAAATTTTATTAAGATCCGATTAATTGTTTTAGAATTTTTTTTTTTAATTTTTGGAACACCGTGTATATTTTCCACTGTAACATTAGTAATTAAAAAAATATCACAAATCTGCTAAAACCATCCCATTTCTTAGAAAATTTTCGATCGATTTAAAAAAAAATTGTTTTCATTGATCAATTTGAGTCTAAAGTACAGTCGATCAAAGTTACTGGATTAGGCTAGCCCAGTTAGTTTTTACGGAAAGTAGTAAATAGGTCAAATTTGATTTGAAATTATTTATTTATTTGAAAAAGGTAATGAAAAATATACATTTCTTTACAAGCACAAATAATATATTCCTCTAATAATTCTTCCTTCAAATTGTAATACTTATTTCCAAATGTATTTTTTTTCTTAAATTATTGTTGTTGACATACAATTAAAACACAGTAATTTTACGAATATTTTACCAATTAAAATTGCGTATTTAAAGTTGTAAACACAAGCATCTGTATACCTTTAAAACATTATTTTCAAAACATTGCAATATCTTTCAGACTTAAATCACTTCGTTCAGCAATTATATAATTTACAAAAGCTTTTAAAGTGTAATATAAATTATTTATTATAAAAAGCTTAAACTTAAGCAATTTTGATTTTATCATTTAGGAGATATTTATCGACTTAATAATTTCTATCTATAATAAACTTACATCATTCATAATAATTAGTAATATTAATTTGTCAAATTAATGCTTTTAACTAATGAACATTAATTAAAAGCATTAATTTTTCTACCTTTCTTTTTTTAAATAATTAACATAACACATATTTAAAAACTTACTCTTCATCAAGATCTTTTAAACAGTAATAAAACTATATAAATAATTATAATTCTGTGCAAATATGTACAGAAGCAAGATTTATTATAGAAATGAATCTCTGTTAATGTGGAGAACTTCATTGTGAATATAAAAATCGAAAAAGTTCCTTCAAATTTGCACAAAATATAAAGCTAGCTGAAGCTTCATTTTTATTCAACAATTAAGTCGAAATTATCAATTTCTTCAAAAGTTTTGTTAATTCCTTTCGCCCATTCATTAAGTTTCTTGTTTTCTTTTTTAGATTTCTTGGTTTGTTTCTTTACTTTTTCCTTTAATTCATTCCTATTTTCGTCGTCCTCATCACTTTCTTCAGAGAACGTGCTGCACATTGTATGTCTTTTACGTTTATAGGTAGATTTTGCAGGCTGTAATAAATAATAATTAATTATTTGTTTCGTTTAAATTATATTGTTTCATCAAATTATTAATTACTAGCAAAATTAAACGCGCCAAATTGAGTATTTAATTGTTTGTTATAAAGAAATTAAAGATTAATATTATCAATAATAATTTAATTTATTAGAATATTATTACATATTAAATGATAATAATGAAAATTATATGTTTACAGGCCTCGGATTATACGACTTTTTCCGACTTTTTATAAAATACGACTTTTATCGACTTATTTTAATAAAATGCGACATTTTTTTTTTACATTTGAAAAAAAATGTAAATAAAATACATTTTTTTAGTATAAAATGTAGATCTTCTTCAGATCTTCTTCAATTCAATTATTTAACAAATTTTGAACTAAAATGATTCTTCACTAAATTCATTATTTTTAATAATTTTAATGAAATACATCACAAATTCAATTATATCAAAATTATTTTTCAATTAAAATTTTTTGAAATTTAACAATTGTTTATAATTTAAAAAAAATATATCACAATAAAATTGCATTATTTTTTAAAAATTTCAATTCAAAATAAACTAAAATTCAATTATTACCCGAAATTTTAATTCAAAATCAATTAAAAATCCAATAATTATCCAAAATTTTCAATTTAAAATTTAATTATTTACCAAGTTTTCAATTTAAAATGAAATAAAATTCAATTATTTTCTAAAATTTCTATTTTAAATATTGTAAATTTGATTACTTTTTAAATATTACATCCGCAAATTAATAAGTGAAAAATTAAGTGATAACCTCTGATCCCTTCTAGAGGCGAAAATTTAATTTCTCAAATTTCGCTAATAAAAATTATTTTTCACTGACTTCTCTAACTTACAGACCTCGGATCAACTTTAAGGTGAAAAAAATGTTGTTTTAGTCGGTTTATATTTAAAAAAAGCGGAAAAAGTCGATTTTTTATTTTAATTAAATTTAATTAGTTAATAAGTACTTTACTTTAAATAATATTAACTTTATTAGATATTAAATCCATATTATTAATTCCATAATAAGAATAATTCTATAGGAATATTATCAAGAAAATTTATTTCGCATATTTCAGAATCGAAGACGTAAATATTTTAAATTTTAATTAAATTAGACAAATTAAAAAAAAATTCTGTTAACATTTTAGAGTTTTTATTTGTAACTTTTTAAAATAATTGAATTTTTTAAAAAAATATTAAAATTATATTAAAAATAATTAAACTTTCGAATAGCTAAAGTTGAAATTTTTAAAAATAAATAAATTTCAAAACATTTTGTTAAATTTCAGAAAATAATTAAATTTTACAGAATTGGAAATTATTAAATAATTTTAAATAACATTTTTTAAAAGTATTTGAATTTTTAAAGATTTACAATTCAGATTTTTGAAATTAATTGAACTGCAAGTGATTATTAATTAAAATTTTTGTCGATTTCTGTTGATGAAGAATTTATTAGAAATTACAGACAAAAATTGAATTTCAAAAGTTTTTAATTGAAAAATGCTTTCAAATAATTGAAGAATTTTAAAGAATATTATAAAAATCATTAAATTTTGGAGGAGTTACAGTTGACATTTTTAGAAATATTTAAATTTTTTATTTAATTAAATTCAACTGATTTTGAATTTTTTTTTTTTTGTGATTTCTGTTGACTGAAGAATTTGATTCAAAATTAAAGACAAAAATTAAAAAACTTAAAAAATTTTTTAATTGAAAAATGCTTTCAGATAATTGAATTTTCGAAGAATATTATAAAAATCATTAAAAATAATTGAATTTCAAAAGAGTTATAATTTAATTTATTTATTAAATTTCAAAAAGTTTTAGATGAAAAAATTTAAAAATAATAAATTTTAAAAGGTTTTAAATTGAAATTTTTGTGAATTTTATTTGATTTTTTTAAATTGCAAATAATTGTTGAATTTCATAAAATTTTTAATTGAAAAATAATTTAAGATAATTGAATTTACTCTCTAAATCTGAATTAGTAAAAATGTTTACTAATTTAAATTAGTGACTCACTTTTTGCTTTAAAATTAGTGAAATTTTACTAATTCAGAAGCAAAAAGTGAGTCACTAATTCAAATTAGTAAACATTTTTACTAATTCAGATTTAGAGAGTATGAAGAATTTCATTAAAATTATTAAAAATAATTAATTTAGAGAAAAATTTTTGTTAAAAATTTGTTAAATAATTTAAATAAAGAAGATTTGAAGAAGATCTGCATTGTATACTAAAAAAGATGTATTTTTTAAAAAAATTTTGTAAAAATGTAAAAAGAAGTCGAAAAAGTCGTCTAATCCAAGACTTGACATTGCCTAGTTATTAGAATTAAAAAAAATTAATTTCTATTAATTTGGTAAATATGAAAATAATAAGAATAGAATATCTATAAAGAGAAATTTTTTGTAGTTAAAACAAAACTGATTTTTGTTGAATTTTTTGATTAAAAATAAAAGTAATAATGTCAAACTTACAGTGGCGAAGCGAGTTGGTGGTTCAATGTCTACAAACAGAGGCACGACACTACAGTCCTGTTTGTTATCATCTTTTTCATTTGTTTGCTCCTTTAATAGATCAAATGTATCAGAGAAATCAATTATCTCATTTTCTTCATCTTTCTTTGAAGTTTCTTTTACTGATTCTTCAACAAATTCTTCTTCACGTTTATCTTTCTCTTGATTAATTTGCTTCTTATTTTCATCATTATTTTCATCTTTCTTTACTCGACGTGCGTGCAGCGTTCTCAATACCTCTTTTGCAGAAAATCTCACAGGTCTTTTGGATTCAGACTCTTGCCTTGGTCTGACATTTCCCTTCTTCTCCCGAAGTATTCCTTTCAGAACAATGGGTTTTTCATTTTGACACACAATCGAAGATGCATCAAAATCGTCATCAAATCCAAAGGCGTTCTCAATGTCCGTCTGGGAAGATTTCTTCAGAAATTTGCCATTAATTGGAGTGGAATGAACGTCATCAAAAATTCCATGTGGCGTTCGAATTTCCGTTCTTTCGGGCGCGTCGTCCAGACTTAAGAAATTATTTAAATTCGTTTGCCGCAAGATCTTCAGTTCGCGGAGTGGTTGTTTCTGCAATCCTGAAGGTCCAGGCTGTGGTTCGAAAACTGGCGTTGCCAAAGTGCCCTTCTTTTTTGGAGACTTTTGAGGACTGTGACAATTTGGTGCCGCATTTTCCTTGTCCTCGACATCATCAGAAATTGAATTTTGAATAGAAGCACCGACAGGACTTGGCACATGAGGAATTTCAGGCAATCTACTTTCATCTGTGTTCAAATTCACTGGGGTTAAATTATCGACGGCACTCGTCGATTTGTCGTTGGTAATTTTCTCTTCTTCTGGTTTGACAAGAACGGTCCTTCTTGCCAATAAACCAGCAGGTTTGATTTGAGGAGTACTTTGAACTAAACTGCAAACACGAGAAAAATTCCCCGTCTGAGGAAGTCGCCACGGAGTTGAGAAGTCTACATTTTCTGCGACTCTTGCAATTGGGGACATCGTTTTCGAGAGGAGAGAATGATCCGCCATGTTCGGTTGCATCATAGACATTGCACGGAAATTTTGAGTCACTCTGAAGGGTCTGAATTCTTTTGCTGCTTGAGGCACAAAAGACACTTTATTCTTAGGCTCAACGACCTCGATGGAAACCAACTTTGGTTTCTGATGGATCTGAGGAAGCTCGTGAGAATTTGGTTCTATTTCAACCTGGGGAGCCGAGTCCAAAGTGCACTGTACTTTCAAAGTTGGATCAGCAGATTTTTTAACAACTGATTTTGGTGATTTATTTTTATTTGATTTGAAGAATTTTACAGTTTTCTTCAATCGCTTAGGAGGCTTCTTCTTGATACCTTTCTTCCGTTTCTTTGGATTCTCCTCAAACGATAAATCGCTGTCCGAAATCTCATAAACGTCTTTATCTTTAGTTTTTGTCTCTGAAAATTGGATAGTTTTCCAGATAGGAACTTTCTTCTCACTAGTACTGGATATTTTTTCAATAACAACCATGCTGTTACGACTTCTTGGAGATAAAACCAATTTACTCTTTTCACAATAATTCTTCACATCCTGACGAGGACGTAATGTTTTTTTCTTACTTGGAGTAATTTCTTCAGGAACAACAGGTAAACTAAATGAACTTTCATCTAAAGGTGGTTTCTTTACAATTTTTCTTTTTCTTGTACGATCTTTAATTGACAAAGTGAAAAACTTTTTCTTTTTTGGAACCACGTCTTTTTCCTTTGAAACATCTTCTTTATCCTCTTCTTTATCTTTCACATCCTCATTATCGGATTTTTTCTTTTTCTCCTCTGTGTCACTTGCATTATCTTTTCCCACTAATAACTTTCCACTTCTTGTTCTTAAGCCTCCTTTTGTCGTCGCTTCAGTTTCTTTTTGTTCCAAATTCTGCTGCGACAATTGTTTCTCCTCTAAATTCGATTTATCTGTTGATTTTGTGTGCTCTTGTAAATTTTCTACCTTCTCAGATCTCAATTTCGCCCTGGCAGTTAATTCCTTATCCACAGGAAGAACAACAGTCTCAAGTTTCGTGTTTGATGACTTTTGCTTAGCCAGAGGAACAATAACAGGAGGATCTGAACTTTCATTTGTTCTGTCTCGAAAAACGGGAGATTTCACGTTCAACACAGCTTTTTTATTGTCAGTGTCTTGTTTCAAGATCTTCAAACTCAATAGACGATTACTGGTTTTTGTTTTTTCTGTTTCTTGGGATTTTTTATTTTGCGGAACAATGTTTTCATCTTGTTCTTGTATTTTTTTCGAAGATCGGGTATTCTTGACTTTTGTTGATTGTTTAGAAATGACAACTCGCGAATTCTGATTTGAATCAGTTGACAAAACATTGCCGGGTTTGCGTTTCTTTATTTTATCCTCAGAATTCTCTTTCAATGGCGGAAGCCTTTTTCTTAAAAGTCGTGACATTTTTTACAATCTGAAACAAATCGAATCAGTGTGACTGTCAAAAATTATCATAATCATTTGAGAACACACAAGGCGTAGTAATGAAATTAAAAAATTTAGAAATTAAAACGGAAAATAGAGTTAAGAATATTTAAAATTACTTTAATTATTGTCCCTCATATTTTTTTAAAAAGTCAGTTGTACACATGATAATAAATTCAAACATTAAAAAAGACAATTAGAGAAGTTATATTAAAAACATAAAAATTGCATAAAAAATGTAAATTCTTTTCAAAGTAATACAATTTGAAAATGATATTGAAACGGGAATTAAATCATTCTCGGTATTTGAAACGCGGTAAATGTACTGAAAGAAAATTTATTTGATTCAAATAATCGGTTACTTAAATATTATCAAATAAATTTCAACTATTGGCATATTCTTTTCTCGTTAAGACCTCACTTTTAATTTGGTACCCGTCATCTTTGGAAGCATTTTTCGTGTCTTTACAGATAGTGTTAAATTTTTTTTTTCTAAAAGTATTTTTGTCTCTTTATGTTTAGGTCACTTCCACTAATTTTTTCAAAATGATAACAATGTTTAATGCATAAAAATTAGCTGTCATTAATAACTTTTGAAGTATTAAAAAAAAATTCGCATAAACATTCGATGTATTAATTATTCCTAGACTATTTTGAAAATGTAGAAAATGGGGAGTTGTGCCTCACATTATATTTAACAGTTTTTAATCCTAATGCGCACTCTATTTTTATTTCGCATTATTTATGAATAATTAGAATGTTTTATGCAATTTAAATATTGTTCTTTAGTGAAATGATACTTTTTACATCTGTATTCACTGTAAATGAAATTAATTACCTAGTTTAATTCAATTATTTTTGAAATAATTTTATTTTATCTAAATTATCTAAAATTAATCTTTTATTATCTTATCTATTACTTTACTTTATGTAAGTTATCTTACTTTTTCACATTTCATACTTTAAATAAAGAATATTCTAAAAATTATATTTTTTTCTTCAATTTTCAACAGTGGAGCACAAACTCCCCACTGTTTTTGAAAAGTTATAAAAACAGTATTTTCAAAAAAAAGCAAAATTTCTATTTCCGTTTTGAATTTTAATTAATCCATCATGCCAAAAAGTTTTGTTTGTACGTGTACTAAAAGTTCTATATAAAATAATAGTAAAAAAAAAAAAATTTATATAATAGTTTTGATCGAAAAACAAAACCCGGAGCACAACTCCTCACACTCCCCTATTTATTTGCATTAAATAATTATTAGTTGAATCAATCAAATAGTATTTGTTTGAAATACAGTTTATTTAATTCAAATAAAAATTATTTGGTATAAATAAATATTTATTTGAAGTCAAGTAACGGATTAAGATTTTTTTTTCTCAAAAGTTTTAAAATATAATAATTTATGATCTTAAAAAATATTAATATTTTCCTTCTATAGAGGGTGCTTTATCCAAACTTTAAAATTGCTTTGAAATTTGGCTGCTACCATAACTAGAAAACCGATTTCAATAATTCTTGCTGCATTTTGTCTTCTGTAAAATTTTTTTTAACGAGTAAACCTCTAATATACCAATCATATTTATTTTTATGCTTTCTGTGAATGATTTAATGTCAAAAAAATGTTTTGAGTAATTCGAGGTTTAGCCGCTAAAAAAAAGTACCACTGAAGAGAATGCAACAATAATTTTTGAAATCAGTCAATCAGTTTTTGAGTTATGGTATATTTAATATACATTTACTTTCAATTTAATACACTTTATGTTACATTTATTGTAAAGTGTATTAAATTGAATGTAAATGTATATTAAATTTAATGAAACTGTATATTAAATTTCAGTTCTAGTATTGCATATTTGCTTCATATTCAATATATGGGGCATTCTATGGGAAATTTTCATTGAAAATTTTTTTTTGTCCGAAACATTTTTTTTCGAAATCTATATGAAAAATAAGGAAATACGTATTTTTTTTATTTTTTTATTTGATGAAAATGAAGGAAGTTATGAGTTTTTGAAATTTAACGTCAACGAAGAAAGAGTATTTTGGAACATTTTTTAATCTATTGTACTAAGAAATTAAAAATTATGCTATATATGAAATTTGTTCATTTTTTCTCAAATTTTTCTAATATGTGCTCAAAAATAACGTACCTATAACAGAAGCAACAAAAAAGTTGAAATTAAACTTATAAAGTGAGTTTTCTCAAAAGAGACACTTTCGATTTTTAATTTTTTTTTTTTTGCATTACAATCTCTGATGATTGAAGAATTTTTTCTCCTATCTGCGAAAGTGGTATTTTTAGTTTTTAAATTATTATTTATAATTTTTTTAGTACGGCTCACAGAATTTAAGCATTTTTTCTACAAATATAACCTTTTTCCATTAACATTCATTTGTTTTTTTTTAATTTTCATTAAAAAATACTAAAAATCGTTGCGTCAAGCTTAAAAATTGTAAATAGTAATTTAAAAACTAAAAGTACCACTTTCGCAGATAGGGGAAAAAATTCTTCAGTCATTAAAGATTGTAATGCAAAAAAAATTAAAAATCGAAAGTGTCTCTTTTGAGAAAACTCACTTTATAAGTTTAATTTCAACTTTTTTGTTGCTTCTGTTATAGGTACGTTATTTTTGAGCACATATTTGAAAAATTTGAGAAAAAATGAACAAATTTCATATATAGCATAATTTTTAATTTCTTAGTACAATATAGATTAAAAAATGTTCCAAAAACACACTTTCTTCGTTGACGTTAAATTTCAAAAAATCATAACTTCCTTCATTTTCATCAAATAAAAAAATAAAAAAATACATATTTCCTTATTTTTCATATAGATTTCGAAAAAAAAAATGTTTCGGACAAAAAAAATTTTCAATGAAAATTTCCCATAGAATGCCCCATATTAAATTTAATACAGATTTTGCTAATAGTGTAAATTTTAAAATAGTTTTCTTTTTTCGGCTAAAATGTATTACACTAATACACTAATTAAAACGTTTTTTACTAACTGAAACAATAATAAAGTAGAGAAGTTTGTGCTAATTAAAATAAAAAAATATTCTGATGGCGTACAGAACAAAAATATTTTTTAATGCGATTTAAAAAATTAAAAAAATTTCGAGCAAAATTATTCTTTTATGCTTTAGCTGAATGTTTCTATCTCTATTTATGACCTAAAAAAACCAACGTTCATATGGATTTATATAGATGAATAAAAAGTTACCCTTTCCCATACTGTTTAAACAAACTAAAAATGTTCTATTTCTTTAAAAAACTATGTTGACTAAGACCATTTAAGGTTTTTCTTTTATTTACTTTAATTTAATAAATTAATTAAATTCCAGTTAATTTTGTTACACTATGGTAGACCAGTAGATGCATAGAACATATGGAAATTTAAAATGAATTTTATAAAAAAAAAAAAATGTAAAATTTGGAACATCTAGTACACCCTACCATGGATATTTAATTCATGAGCAATTAACCTTGAAGATTGTCTCGATTTTAATCACGTTAAAAAATTTTATTCAGTAAATTCAGTTATTTAATAATTAAAATTTTAGTTTAAATGAAAATGTAGGATAAAGAGAATTTTTAGAAAGTTTACACTATACCAGAAATGTAAGAAACGCAACAAACTTCAGACTGTTTTGTCAATAGGTTGACCCTACTACAATTATAAAGATATTTATTTCTTAAATTACAGTTACTCACAAATTATTTTTTTTTGTCTATAGCTACATTCAATTATAATTATTATTTAACACTGTCATGATAATCGGAAAGTTTAATATTCTTTTACACAAAAATATTTAGGCAAAATAAATATCATTAAATTACTGAGTTTTAAAAAATAGCTTTATGTTGCAATCGAAAAAATTCAATTTTGTCCTAAATCTTTTATAGTTACAGAAGGTTAAAACAAAATTTTTTAAAAGTCTGTCAATAACGAAATTTGGTTATTTTAAAAATTAAAATCGACTTACTGAACGAAAAATTCAATTAATTTAATCTATTTTAGAGATACTTTGATTATGCCAATAAATTTGAGATTAGATTCTTTTTTTTTATTATAAAAAATGTTTGTTTAGAAACTTGAATATTCAAACAGAACAATAACGAACATACGCATATAACCTCTATGTAAATAAACGCGATTTCATGTAAAAGTAAAAAAGATCTTACCTTGTATTATGTATCAATTGCAAATTAGATGCGTTAAACCACTTTATAAACGTAAATATTCAAGCTGCACAATTTATTTAATACACAACTTTTGAAAAATTTCATTGTTTATTTGCTCTATATCGTTTGTCTAATATTTTCTGTTATGCGTTTGCGCCATTTCATGTAATGCTAAGATTACTTCACACGACAAAAATTTCTACAAAATCTCGGTGGTGGAAGTGTCACGTATTTCAAGGCAGACGGTAGAGAGCGCAACAATCTAAAGGAGCGGTCACAGCTAAGTCTGCACTGGCCACGCATGCAGAACAATAATATATGACTATTCTTCTCGTACTAATTCTTCCGCTTACGATTGCGATTACGGTTAAGGCCTTTCTCCAATTGGTTCCTAAATGTTTGCGTTGCGTGACTGACGCGTTGGTTCGCAAGCGCAGTGATGTCATCAAAGCATTGATACCAATTGCAAACAAAAAATTTGGTTTATAATTTTAAGACACTGAATTTTTTAATTACAAATATTAAATGCCGTCGAGAAACATTTGCAGTTAAAATTGTAAAGTTGGAAAACAGTGGTAAAGAGGAACATAAACCAAACTTTTTAATCGCGATTGGTATCAATGCTTTGATGACGTCACTGCGCTTGCGAACCAACGCGTCAGTCACGCAACGCAAACATTTAGGAACATATTGGAGAAAGGCCTTTACGTTTCTATGGTAACGTATAAGTGTGAGAGAAATGAAAAATGTTTTAATTTCTCTCACTCTTATATGTAACCATGACAACCCTACTTACAAGTAGATAGATGAACTGTGACCGTATGTATTTTAAGGCCTAAGCACAACTGAGTTGGGTACACAAGTCGAATACGGGATATGTAAGTTCCCGCAACCGTCTTTAATTGTTCGTTGAAAAACGGTTGCGCGAAACATTGGCGGAACCTTTTTTTTCAACGCACAATTAAGCAGCGTCTACAATAAGCGCGTCGGACGTGTACGCGAACTTGTACCAATATATAATACTGTATTATACATTCGGGGGCGGTCAGGCTCGAGGATTAGATAGAATCCTCAGACTGATACTCGCACCTGAGTTTAATGGTACCACGGGGATCGGGTGCCCACTTGGACTTGTTTTTTGCTCCGGCAAATTACTTATCCTTGGCCGGTCATCTGGTGTTGGACTCATGGGGGCCGTGGTTAATAGCTCACATCGCTTAGAGCAAGATGATGGAGAAGAAGCTGAATCAACGTGATCAGATTTCTTCAAAATTGTCGACGTGTGACCGCTCCATAACAACTCGCGCAGGAACCTGCATAGTTCCTAGGGATTGGAAAGGTCCCGCCCTTTGTCGGGGGTCCGTGATGTCCTATCTAGACGATCGGAAAACGGCCGCTTTATTTTACTAAGTGAGAGTCAGTGCTTTAGAAAGATGACTATGTTGAACGAATGTTTGAACGACGATATACAGTGAGAGTCACGAATCATCCTGCAAATTTCTGAAGAGAAAGATAAGTTGAACGAGGACTAACGTCTATAGGAGTCAAGCCGTTGGTAAGTCGAAAGACCAGGTACAACGGAACCACCCCAAATTCTTTTTCGGACGAATTTTTATGGATTAACGCAATTCCCGCTGGATTATACACTCGTGGCCAGAAATGCCTACACATTTTTGTTCTTTTCTAACGCCACGAGTATACAGCAAGGGAACGTCCAAACCTCAGCTACCTATGTAGGGTTGTCATGGTAACGCATAAGAGTGAGAGAAATAAAAAATATTCTTATTTCTCTCACTCTTATACGTTATCATGACGACCCTACTCAGATAGCTGAGCTGTGGCTGCACTCTAATGGAGCGGTCACACCTCGGCTGCAGGAGCAGTTGCCAATGGCAACCGTGTAAGAGTAAGAGATATGGAAAATCTTCTATCTCTCTTACTCTTACACGGTTGCCATGGGCAACTGCTCCTGCAGCCGAGGTGTGACCGCTCCATTAAGGTGTTTTTATACCTTGTTTGGTTTCGGCAAGTGTTAAATTTTCACTGAGATTCACTGAATTTGATTGGCTTTGACAAATATTCCATTTCCATCGTGAAAATGAAATATTGTTAGAGCCAAACAAATTCAGTGATTCTCCATGAAAATATATCGCTCGCCAAAAACCAAAAAGATATAAAAGCACCTTTAAGAATTAAATCATCTGACTTGTCACATTTCGGATGTTCCATTCTATTGCAGAAAGAAATTCCCTGCTTGCACTGCTTTTTATTTTTATCCTATTGGCGACACTGCTATATAATAGTTTTAAAAGGTATATATATAGTAATACAGAAGAGAGCATTGTGGAAACCGTTACCGGCAAAAGTGATTCTTGTTTAGACCTGTTGTTCTGCTTTACTACATTGACCTTAAAATTCAAGATACTTCTTGAGTTTCTTGCACAAGTTGTTGATTTGAAAGAAAATTTTCAAAACATTTCATCATGTCGGCCGCAATGGCTTCTACAGTTTCTATTCATACAGAAGACGATTTGGATGCTTATAACAATCAAGTGAAACTACTCAAAACTTTGGAGGTAAACAATTATTCTCTTTATAGTTTTCGTGTAATTTTCTTTATTGTCTAATTTCTCGAAAGCATACCATATTTGAGTGTTGAATTTTGTTTCAATTTTTTTTGCGTTTTTTCAAAGAAAATTACGAAAATAGTAAATCGTTCTTAAAATATAATATTTATGAATAAACATTGACATTGAAGTTTGACAGATTTGTTCCTTTTAGCCCGTTAGCGACTATGTACGTAATTACGATAGATTCTTTGTATTATTTATCCTGGTATAAAGAGTGGTGTCGGTGTATCTTTGTTTGATAATTTTTTCGATTTATTATTTAATAAAAATTTATTTTATTATTGTTAGGTCGTGATTCTTTTAATTATTTTTATTACCTTTCAGTTATTTACTTTTTTCTTTACTTTACAAGAAAACAAATTTATGAAAATTCAATATACTTATAACTTAATCATAATTTTCTATAAGTCTTTGTAACCAGCTGTCAGAGAATATCAGTGATTTACTTCAAAGATTTTTTTAAAAATTGTACAAAAATTAAAATTTTTTATGAATTTTTAAAATTTCTCCCTGACTAGAACCACTGAAATTTTAATTGTTATTAGGCAACAATTTTTTTCAGACATTAAGATCTAAAAATGTATTATGTTATCAAAATTAAAAAAAAAATATTTTTGCCTACATTAGAAATTTTATTTTTTAGAAAAAATTTTTAAAATCCATATGAAATGTTTATTCAAAAATTATAAGAAAAGTGTAAAAAAATAATTATCAATGAAAAATATTTAAAAATGTGGAAGAAGTTCAATTTAAAAAAAAAACTACCAATGAAATTTCAATTAATCAAAAATTTACATTATGTAGAGTTGACAATTTTTTTCGACCTTTTATCAAACCTAGAATTAAATTCCATTTTATAGAAAATGTAGAAAAATCATTTTTGGCTGTTTTACATTTCTTTTAATTTTTTATTCAAATCCATTCGATTGATTGTTTAGAATGATAAGAAAAGTGTAAAAAAAATCGGCGATGAAAAATATTAAAAGTTGTTGAAATTTGTTAATTAATAAATATTTTTTCTAAATTTTCATGACGTAACTTTAATTTATATTTTTTTATAATGTTTTAATAAACGAAAATTTCAAAATGTTAAAATTTCATTGAAAGTAGTTTTTTTGGAGTTAAAGAAATCTTGACTTCAAAATTAAAAGAAAAGTTTTATTTGATTAAGTAGAAATTTTATTATTTTATAAATAAATTGAATAATTAAAGAACAATTTGATATTTGTATAAAGAAAATAATTTCAAAATGTATTTTTGAGTTAGACTTTTTTTTTAGAAATTTTTATGAGTTAAATCTTGAAAATTATTCTAACTCAAAATTTGTTTTATTAATTTTACTCCACGAATTAACGTCAGAACATTTTTTTTGTACATCTATTTAAAATGAAAAAATTTCTTAATTTCATTTGAAAAATTTAGTCGAAAATCTAAATTGTATTAATTTTTATAAATTAAAGGTTTAAAAGACTTGTATGAATAAAGGAACTGCAATTTTTTTTTAAATATCAATTTTAATGAATTATATATAATGTATAATTCTAATATATTATATCTTTTATTAATTTTGTTAAAAAAAGAATGAAATTAATTAATTTATTTAATAGCAATAGCTAAAAGTGATTATTTAATAATAATAATAATAAAATATTTAATAACTAATTAAATTTATCAAAAATATAAAATATCGTCTTTTTGAGACTTTTTTTTATAATGTAAAGCGACTTTTTTTGGGTGTACTTCCGAAAAGGTCCCCCCTTTAAATTTAATAAAACATAGGTATTCTTACGTATTTTGGTGCGTAGATTACGAAAATCGTAGTGAAAATTGGCGCAAATTTGATTATCATAGTAAAAACCGTAAAAAACACCATAAAATCATGATTTTTTGCGATTATTTCGTAAAAAACGCAAAATTTCGAAAAAAGTTTTAGACAAAAGTTGTAGGTCTCAAAAAAACACCATGATAATGAAAACATATACAACAGTCATGGTTAGACATATTATTTGACTCGTATATAGTATCATATTCACCATTACTCAGCATCCAACGAATTCCGCAAAATACTTTCGGCCATATCCACCCCCTCTCGCCAAGGTTTTTTTAAAAAGAAAAGCGAGCAGTACCTTACGCGGCCGAAGGCCGTGTTTACTATTCTGCGTTTACCGCTGCTGTATAGACTCCACCCCACAATTTCCGCAAATTACTTTCGGACTATTTTTCTCGAAAAATAATGACTTTTGGTAAAAAATTCATAAAACATAAAATGTGTGTTTTTTTTGAGATCTACAACTTTTGTCTAAAACTTTTTTCGAAATGTTTTGTTTTTTACGAGATAATCGCAAAAAATCATGATTTTATGGTGTTTTTTACGGTTTTTACCATGATAATCAAATTTGCGCCAATTTTCACTACGATTTTCGTAATCTACGCACCAAAATACGTAAGAATACCTATATTTTATTAAATTTAAAGGGGGGACCTTTTCGGAAGTATATCCCTTTTTTTATTGCTAAATATCTACAGCGTTTTAAAATTGACCCTGAATTAAAAAAAAACAATTTAAATAACAATTGACTTCTTTTTATTTAGGGAAATGGCATTACAGCTGCGGATGTTAAGAAATTGGAGGAGGCCGGTTACCACACGGTGGAATCTGTTGCATACACTCCAAAAAAAGTTCTTCTTCAAATTAAAGGAATCAGTGATGCAAAGGCCGACAAAATTCTCCAAGAAGCTTCGAAACTTGTTGTTATGGGTTTTAAAACAGCGACAGAAATCCATCAGAATCGTGCAAACATAGTTTATATCACCACAGGTTCGCAGGAATTGGACAGACTTCTTGGAGGTGGCATTGAAACTGGATCTATTACAGAAATATTTGGCGAATTTCGTACTGGGAAATCACAGCTCTGTCACAGTTTAGCCGTTAATTGTCAATTGCCAATTGATATGGGTGGAGCAGAGGGAAAATGCCTTTACATTGATACCGAAGGAACTTTTAGACCTGAAAGATTAATTGCCACAGCTGAAAGGTTCGTACTGTTATATATGTATTTCTTTTTATATCTTTAATAATAGCTGCTAAAGGTTTTTTTTACACTATTCTTGAAAAATATGAAATCATTTCTTTTTTACGAATAGAAAACATTTCAAATCTTAAGGAATATAAAATCAGAGTAGCCACGGGTTAGGGAAATTATGGAAAAATCAGGGAATTTTATGAAAAGTACTGGAAAAATATCAAATTTCTAAAAATAGTACTCAAATTATAATTTCTGAAATTTTCAATTCAAACTTTTGCTTCTAAAAATTATTGTCTTACATTTTTATAATTGTAGACCTCGGATCGACTTTTGAAAGAAAAAAAAGTCATTTTAGTCGATTTACATTACAAGAAAAGTATAAAAATGCCATTTTTTTATTTTCAATAAATTTAATTAATTGACATATATTTTATTATTATTAATAATTTCTTATTAGAAATAAAATAAAATTTATTAATTCCTTAATAAGAATGTTTCACAGAAATATTTTCAACATTTCTTTTTAAACCACCGAATTAAACTGAGATAAATTTTCAAGATTTCAATTCAGTTTGACAACAAATTTTGAAAAATAATTTAAAGTTACATTAAAAAAAAAGAAATTTTTTCAAGTCTGATTTATGCATATTATTCGAATTCAGAATTTCGGAAAATTTTTTAAATAATTAAATTTTAGAAAAATTTTATTAAAATATTATTGAAAAAAAAATTAATTTTAAATGAAATTTTTTGAAATAATTGAATTTCAGAAGATTTTTAATTAAAATTTTTTAAATAATTGAATTTTCGAAGATTATCAATTGAAACTTTTATAAATTTTAATTAATGAAATTTTTTTACAAGTTATAGGTAATAGGGTCAGCCGGGGTAAATCCGAACGGGGGGTAAATCCGAACGCTAATTATTTCAGCTTAATTAAAATTTTTAAAAATAAGTTCGATATGAGAAATTTTATCTCAGATCCTTTTCAAGAGATTCTAAGTATTATCCCATTTTTCGTTTGTTAATTAGCAACAGCATAAACAAAGATAACGAGTATTGCAAAAAAGATTGAAAATCAAAGATGACACTCTTTCAGTATTTTGTCTCGTATTTGAAGAAAAAGAAGCTAAAAATTTATTTTATTATTTATAATTGTTTGTTATGAATACTAGAACAGAAACTATTTTTCATTTTTGCCTTCTGTAAAATTTTATTAATAATATCAGACCGTTCGTATTTACCCAGGAAAATTGGAAAACCGGGGTAAATCCGAACGGTATTTTCAATAATTTTTTTTACATCAGAGCCACACAAAATTGTTTTTATTTCATTACACTATTATTTTAACATTATAAAAGTACATAGAAAAAAGTTTTTCTTTCTATACGTACCCTCGTTAGTAATTAATAAACAGAAACTTAATCTCTGTTCTCTCGAAGGAGTGTTTCAATTTTTTGCCAAATGGTTTGTTGAAAAAAGTTTTTCAGGATCTTAATAAAATTTGGTATTCTACGGTTTTTGGGGTCGCTAATTACCAATTTGAAGTCAGTTTTTCAAAATTCAAAATGGCGGACGAGAATTAAAAAATTCATTGGATTCGCTCGAAAATTGTTACTCGGGGGGTTTCAGGGTTGCTGATTACGAATTTGGAGTTAGCAAATTTGATCATTTTTAAAAATAAGTTTTAGGAAAGTCCGACATTTTGAATTTAAAAAATTTGACTTTTATTTTTGTATTTACATTCAATCACTCCAAAATACTTTCTGTACCAAGTTTTGCAAAAATCCGTTATGATTTGATAAAGTTATTGAAGGTTTTAATTGTGTAATGCATTTTAATTTTTAACCTGTTTGATTTTTGTATTTATATATGATGCATTATTATCGTATTTTTTTGAGTTTTTATATAAGTTTAACAATTGCAATACTTTAAATTTATTTTCCCTAAGATTTTTCTGAAATACAGTGGCGTTCGTATTTACCCCAGTATTTTAGGAAAGTTGCAAAGTATTGAGGTAAATACGAACGCTAAGTTTCCTGCGATTATAATTTATCAAAAATTTTTTCTACCCCATAAAATTGTTCTATGGAAGTAAAGTAACAACTTCATGCACCAGAATACCGGAAGTATTTTTTTTTAAAGAAAAAACTTGTGTTATTGTTGAAACTTACTAAAAGCGTTCGGATTTACCCCGGTTGACCCTATAGAGTTACAATTAATATTTTTTGAAATAATTGCTTTTTTTGAGATTTCAAAAATTTTAATTTTGTTGTAAATATAAACATTAATTAAAAAACGATTCAAATAATTGAGGGGGAATTTACTAGTTAAAAACGTGTACACTTGACTACCGGTATTACACCTCATATTACTCTTAGTACTAAGTATTACACGTTATTACAGAGTATTACACATTGTTACAGAGATATTACAGAGTTTTTTTCGTTATTACAGCACTGTAATAACTCATTATTACACGGTATTACATGTTATTACGCAAGTATTACAGGAAGAGTGTACACTTGACTACCTGAGTAAATTCCCCCTCGCAAATAATTAAATTTTTGAAAAATTGGATTAAAACTGTTGAAATAATTAAACATAAAATTATAAAGATAAAAATTTGGGAAAAAGATTACAATTGAATTACATTCAATTAGTTATTCAATTACTAATTGAATTTGGAAGAGTTCGAGTTAAAATTTTTTTGAAAGTAATTAAATTTTAGAAGATTTTAAATTGAAACTTTCATAAATTTTAATTATTTCCGTGAATTTTTAAAAACTATATTAAAGTAATTAAAAAAATTAATTTATCGAAGAATTTTAAATAAATTTTTTAGAAATAATTGAATTATAGAAAATTTTCAATTGAAAAATGTTTTAAAAAATTGAATTTTCGATTTTTGAAATTTTTAACCCTTACGTGACACACGATGCCATATTGACCCCACCGTGAAAAACTGAACAGAACTTCAAAAGTTTTCAATATTTTTTTTTGAAAAAATTTGGGGATATATTTCTTACCTTTACAATGAAGGATAAAATTATCTAAAACAAAATTTAATTTAAGACAAAAATAATGTTGGGAAATTTTCAAAAATGTGTACATTATTAAATAATAAATTGTCGCGTAGCGAATGTGTGAATGAATGAAAATTGTTCAACAAATGGAAAGGGAAATTTCTATAAGATGTTTTTGGTAATGAGAAGACGAAAGCAGAGAGTAAGTTCCTGACGAGCACAACAACAAAACAGACGCGAAATTTATACGAATTATTTTCAAATGAAATCTGCTTCAAAGTTTAATATTTATTTTATGTAATTTTAATGAAATAAACAATTGTTTTTAATTTAATGTGATTAGTGAATTCTTTTAACAAACTAACAACAAAAAAAACTAGACTCAGCCGCCTTTGCAAAAGAACCAAGATTATCCAGATTGTTAAGGTTGAACATAAATAAATAAAAAAACGTTTTGTTTAATTGAATTTTTGAAAGACTTGATTAAAGTTATTAGAAATAGTGAATTCCAAAAGAAATTGAAGTTAAAATTTTTAGAAATAATTTAGTTTTGAAAGAGCAATAGTTAAATTTTTTGGAAATAATTGCATTTTCGGAGATTTTTAACGTTTATGGGACTGAGGAAAAAATACCTTCTATGGGCGGACGAGGTACCCGGGTACCTATGTTTAATTTATTGAAGATTTTACATCAAAATGAGCAGTTCAATTAACTTTAAGTGTAGTGGACGTTTCAATGATAGTAGTAATCACATAATATGAATACACATTAAAAAGAAGTCTTATTTTAAGGCCGAAAATAGGTCTTATTTTAAGAGTCAACATTTGTATGGCAGCTTTGCTGAATTTACGCAATGCAATTTCCATTATAACTACTAGCACTGATTTTAAGACTCATCTTAAAATAAGATTTTCTTTTTGCTAATAAAAAATTATCATTTTTAGTTGATTATTAAAAAGCTGTCCATTACGTATTAAGTATTTTGTATATATTCACAATTTCATTGATCTTTCATTAAATAGTATCCGTGTATATACTATTTGTTAGATTGCAAAACAAGTACATATTTAGGCAGATTATTTATGAAATCAAATATAAAAATGTAAGAAATTTATTTTTTATTATTTAAAATACATTTTTAATACAAATTAATTCTATTCAAACTTCATTTTTATGGTAATTTTTAAGTTAAAAACTGAGGATTTCTTATGAATATTATTATTTAACTATAGTAACTAAATTACATATATTTTATAAAAAAAATTATGTGCATTACTATAAAAATTAATAAAAATTGTTTAATGTAATTTTTCATAATTTTTTAATAGAAATTTCTTCATTTATCTGCATGAAATGTATAGAGGTATCCGGGTACCTTGTCTGCCTTTTAAGGGCGAAGAAACTTTATTTATTATTTCTGAATAAATAAATAATAAAGGTACATTATAAATAATATTAAAACACTTTGTATGGATAAATTTGAGATGTCAAAAAACCTTAGGTTGATACGATTTTAAAAATTATGAAGAAATTCAATTTGAAAATGCAAAAGGTACCCGGGTACCTCGTCAGTCCCATAAAGGTTAATTAATTTTCGTAAATTAAAATTTTATAAGCTTTAGACAATAATTAAATTTTAGTGAATTTTGAATTGAAAAATGTTTTAAATAATTGAATTTTCGAAAATCTTGATCAAAATTATTAAAATTAAATTATTCAACAAAGAATTTTAGATACAAAATAAAGAAATAATTGTATTTTAGAAGAGTTCGAGTTAAAATTTTTAGATATAATAATTGAATTTCAGGAGATTATTAATTGAAACTTTCATTTTGAATTTGTGAATTTTTTTGAGAAACTTTAGTCAATAATTAAATTTTAGTTAATTTTCAATTGAAAACTGTTTTAAATCATGTAATTTTTGAAGAATTTGTTTTAAATTATTGAGAATACTTGATTTTGCAAACAAATCAAGTTAATATATTTTTTTAATAATTCAATTTTAAAAAATAAAAAAAGTCGTGCAATCCGAGGCCTGTTATTGAAAATCTCTTAAAATATTTTCAACTTTGACTGAAAATTAGGGAAAAACAAAAATAATATTTTTGTGCCAACCCTGTGAATGTTAACATTTATTCGATTTAATATGTTCTCAGAGTTTTTAATATTTTCTAATTCCAGATACAAGATTAGTGGGGATTCGGTTCTTGACAACGTGGCGTGCGCTCGTGCTTTCAACACAGACCATCAGACAAAGCTTTTGATTGACGCCACAGCAATGATGACTGAATCTAGATACGCGTTGCTGATCGTGGACAGCGCCACAGCTCTTTACAGAACGGATTATTCAGGTAGAGGTGAATTATCAGCGAGGCAAATGCACCTCGCGAGATTTCTGAGGATGTTGCTGAGACTCGCCGATGAATTTGGAGTTGCAGTTATCATCACCAACCAAGTTGTTGCGCAAGTTGACGGAGCCGCCAGTATGTTTGGCGGCGATCAGAAGAAACCCATTGGCGGTAATATCATTGCTCATGCCAGTACAACTAGATTATACTTGCGCAAGGGACGAGGCGAAACTAGAATTTGCAAAATTTACGACTCTCCCTGTTTACCTGAAAGCGAAGCAACCTTCGCTATCAACGCCGATGGTATTGGCGACGCTAAAGAATAATTTTATTTTTTTTCATTCACACACAAATTATTACCAAAATTTCGTTAGTTTCGTTAGAAATATTCTATTCTCCAGTTTCAAATTCCAGTAAATATGCTAAGAAAACAAATAGTCTTTATTTTATATGTATATATATATATTTAATCTTGTCTTTTTTGAAACTACTCTTGCATAGACTTTATTCAAAACTATAGACTATTTATTTATAGTTTTTATTTCTTAACTATTAGTGTAAGGAAAAATTTAAACTTTTTGTTCTAGTTTCAGAAATGATATAATGAAAAAATTATTTGAGAAAAAATGCTATACTCTATACATTTGTAAAGCAATACTTTTAAATAGCTTTAGAGAATTTTTTTCTATACTAAAAAAAATGTTGACGCCGGAACGTCCTAAACTGACAATAAACTTGATCTAAAATTATTCTTATTAAAAAGCGGAAAAATTCCTCTATTTTTGTAAAACTATCATTCAAGTTGAAAAATTCTCTTTTAAAAAATTTACTGTGGAAAAATAATACCAAATAACAAATATTCTGTATACAATAAGAAATTCGTATTATTATTGTATAGTAATATTATAAATCAAATAAAATAGTTTTCTACTGTAAATAAAATTTACTGAGTATAAATTGTCTAGAAAATTCGTTAATCTGGATTCTAGAAATTCATGATTTGCACATTTCCATTTTATATGAAAACGATTTGACATGTCGCTTTTTTTATCTTCTTTTTTTGTATTAAAAACTGCTGGACAGCTGTAAATTTAGTTTTTTATTTTTTACAAAAAAAATTAATGAAATTTATTAATTATTAAACAATTATTTAACAAATTTTTAACTAAAAATTTTCTCTAAATTAATTACACAGGTTTACAGTAAAATTGTCACTCGAACAAAACATTTTTTTTCGATTAATATGTGTTTTTTGAGTAAGAAAATCATATTTTAAATTTTTTTCCCTCGTGCAATTTTTTTGTAACAGCAAATTATGCATTTTCCAGGTGTGACGTCACTTAAAGTCACCGGTAGAGAAAGCAGTTAATCCAAATGTAAAAAATAAATCACCATTTGAAAGATAATTAAATTACCTTTCAAACCATTGGTCAACCAATAAAATCCATTCAATATTGTCAGAGTTACAGTCGATCAAAGTTCAAATTTCAAGCAAATTTTAATGATTTTTAGACATTCGACTAACTTTCGCTAATTTTTTCAAAGTCAAACAATCAAAAAAAGGCAAGTTTTAAATTTTTTATTAATAATATATTTAATAACGAAACTTTTAAGCCTTTATAGACCTCGATCGGATAAAAAATGACAATTCTACACTACATTTTATTAAACAAAGTACTTTTTCACTTTTAATATATTTTCAAGTGATTTCGATCTATATCAGTTTTGTATAAAATTAAGTTAAGCGAAGCTCACTAACATGAGTACTCGGGGGTTTTCGGGGTCCCTGATTACGAATTCGAGGTCAGTTTTTCAAAATTCAAAATGTCGGATCCAATATGGCGGACAAAATTTTAATAATTAGAAATGAATTTTGAAAAACAGACCTCAGATTCGTAATCAGCGACCACGAAAACCCCCGAGTACTCATTTTGGTGTGCTTTGCTTAACTTAGTTTTATACAAAACTGATATAGATCGAAATCACTTGAAGATATACTAAAAGTGAAAAAGTACTTTGTTCAATAAATGTAGTTTAGAATTGTCATTTTTTATCCGATCGAGGTCTATAAAGGCTTAAAAGTTTCGTTATTAAATATATTATTAAAAAAAATAATTTTAAACTTGCCTTTTTTTGATTGTTTGACTTTGAAAAAATTAGCGAAAGTTAGACAAATGTCTAAAAATCTTTAAAATTTGCTTGAAATTTGAACTTTGATCGACTGTAACTCTGACAATATTGAATGGATTTTATTGGTTGACCAATGGTTTGAAAGGTAATTTAATTATCTTTCAAATGGTGATTTATTTTTTACATTTGGATTAACTGCTTTCTCTACCGGTGACTTTAAGTGACATCACACCTGGAAAATGCATAATTTGCTGTTACAAAAAAATTGCACGAGGGAAAAAAATTTAAAATATGATTTTCTTACTCAAAAAACACATATTAATCGAAAAAAAATGTTTTGTTCGAGTGACAAAAAAAATTTGAAATTTGTAAACCTGTGTTATTTTTAATAATTTTAATGAAATTCTTCACAAAAAAGATTCCGAAAATATTGAAAAAATCGTTTGCCCACGATCGGGCTAGGCTTTAAATTTTCGTACAAGGAAGTAATTTTTTTGAAAAAATTTGGAAAATTTACTGTATCAGTACGTCAATTAAGAAAAATGACTTTTTATCTTTAAAACTTAAAAATTTGATAGTACAGTAGGACTCCGGTTATCCGAGCTAATGTGGACCGGACCTACCTCGGATAAGGCGAAAACTCGGATAATCCGAATTGTTATTACAATTTAACATTATTATTGTTTAAACAATTATTATTTATTACAAACGGGAAAATAATATTGTATATCTTCCATAATAATTTAAACAATTTGAATTTATTAAAAATAAACTCATATTTATAAAAAACTAAAATTAAAAATAACTCGGATGAAGTAGACTAGACTCAGATAATACAGAAATTCCTACTGGGACACCACCTCGGATAATCGAGACCTCGGATAAAGCGAGCTCGGATAAACGGGGTTTTACTGTAATATTATTTGAAAAAAATTTCGTTTTTTTTTTAAAAGTACGTTTAAAAAAACACATTTTTTGAAAAAAAAACTTATAAAATTGATGCTATATGGGCAATTTTTAAACTACGAGCACGCATTTTATTTATGGATCCATATGTTAGAAATATATTCAGGAACTATAATTTTTTTGAGTGAACCATTTTTCTTTAATGCTGAAAGAATTATAATTAAAAAAACTTTTCGAAAATTTTATTTGTCAAAAATTCATATTTCACAATGAAAAACAAATGAAGACTACTAAAGTTATCAATAATTTACCTATTTTCATGTCGATTCTTTTAACCATGAAAATTTCAAAAAATTGTGAATTTTTTACATTCTTTTATTGTTCTAGTTGGAACACATAGTTAGCGTTTGTAAATAATAATATTAAAAATAATATTTACCGTTCACGCAAAGTTTCAACTATAATTATCTTTCAAGCTGTGAATGTGCAATAAAAAAATGTATAAATTTAAAGTGATTCACGTTTGAAGGTATTGGCATAATTATTATTATATTATCTTTATTTTTGAAGGCACGCGGTTTAATTAGGTCTTAATTTATTCGTTTTTTTCATCAGCAATAAACTCGTTAAAAAAAAAATCTGAATTGCTTTACCGCTGAAAGCACAAAATGAAAAAATCTCTGTAACTTCCAGTTATTGAAAAATGTGAGTAACACTTTTTGAATTGTTGCCATTTGGATTTAATTAAGGGCAGATGTTTTTTTCAGTGTGTAATATATTTTTCATCATCAAAAGTTTCATTTATCATAATTTTTAGATGATTTCCTCTTACGCTGAAAAAAATATGCTCATGAAAGTCGAAAAAGTTACCACAGTAACAAGTCGAACTTGATCTTTTAAGCTCTTAAATGATTTTTTATTTCACAAAAGCAGTATGAAAATTATGATTTTATTAGCTTTTTCTGTTAAATATATTATGAAAAAGATATTGATGCCAAGAAAAAATTATATGTGATTAAAATAATTTAAACCAGAAGTAACATGAAATCGTACGGTTCCGTGGATTTGCCCATATATATTTGCTATACTACTCTAAAAAAAAAAATCGTGTTGTACATTAATTTTCCAAGAATTTAATGTTTTTTGTTCATAGAATACACAGTTATTTCAATTAAAATTTATTTATTATTTCACAAGAAAACCATAAGAACAACAATTATTAACACGTGCTATTGCAAAACTTCTGCTTGACATTATGCTTCTCTTTTTATAATTATTTTGGTACTGCTTTTTCTACTTTTTCTTCTGGTTTTTTGAGATTTTTTCGTGCTTCTTCTAATGCCTTAAATCCTGCTATGGTTTTATTTCTAATAGCATCAGAGACTCCCTTTCCTGGGGCTAATTTAATTGCTGATAATTCATCACATATTGCTTTCAATAATGCATATAATGCTTCTTCTGTTGGTGCTGTAGTCAAAGTCGTTTTTTTCTCCGCACAGCAAAGTTGACAACAATTGTCAGAACTAGCCTCAGAATAATTTCCAGAACTTTTGATATTTTTTCGTGCTTCTTCTAGTGCCTTAAATTCTGCTATGGTTTTATTTCTAATTGCATCAGAGACTCCCTTTCCTGGGGCTAATTGAATTGCTGATAATTCATCACCTACCCTGGCGGATTCGATTTGCGTAATGTCTACTTAACTAAGCGGACTTTAGGTAGACATTAGGTAGACATGTAAAAAAACGTATAAAAAAGCTATTAATCGACTTATTATGATAAAAAAAGTTGATAAAAGGGTAAATGAATGTTTATAGAGTAAATTTGTACAAAATTTGTAATTAATAAAGCAATAAATAATTAATAATGAATGGAAATGTGCGCGAGGTACCTGATCAGTTCAGCTGTACAATTATTTTCGTGCTATTTTCATGAAAAGAATATAAATTAACGGCAAAAACAATTGATATTTATAAAAAAGTGTAAAATTGATTTAATTTGAGTGTTTGCAATACGAATTATTAAATAATAATTAAGTTTTTATCAAATGTGAATAGTGTTGTGAAAACCTGTGAAAACTAATGAGTTACTACATTACCGATCGCATATGATAATAAAAAGTTCTCGATGAGAGTAACAAAAAAACTGCAATCATGTCCGTAATTTTGGACGAGAAACAATTATGAAATCAATAATTATTTGTATAACTTTATTCTGCATTTTAAAATTCACTTTTTATTTTCTTTCAAAGCAAAAGCTTGGAAGAAAACATGCTCGCACTGTATTGTAAAAACTGGTGGCGCCATCTCTCATATGCGATCGGTACCCTGCTAAAAATAAAATCACAGAACGTCAAAAAATTAGTCAGGATCTCTGACGTTTTGAGACTGTTTTTGTTACGATTGCAGTCACAGAACACCACAATAAGTGAGGTTTAGTCAAAGAATTGTCAATAGTAGTCAGATTTTTTATGAGGGTCGGAGACCCTTTTTTTTGGCCATGCCATAAATCATTAAACCCTGTGACTATTTGTGATGTTAAATGACATTTCTTTCTATAAAATAGTTTTGAAGATTCCTGACTTACTTCTCATGAATTCTGACTACAAATATTTAAAAATTAAAAAAAATCAATATTTTATCATTAAAAAAATAAATTATCGCACAACATTTTTTTATCTTTACGTTACACATACTTAATTATTATTTTTACAATTTATTATATTTATTTACTCCTATCGAAGAAAATCTCGCAAACGCAGGGAATCGAACTCACAACCTAACGAACGCAAACCGAATACCTAACCCCTGAGCTAAACTAACCTAACTGAGATCTTAAAAATAGAATACGGTTTTATGAAAATAGAATTTCTTATTACTTTTTTTCAATTTTATCAACATATTTTGTTGATGATTATTATTATTATTTTAAAAAAATTTTATAATTTTTAAAAATTAACAAGTAAAGTTAAAATAGGTATATTGTTATATTGATCAAAAAACATTTGTAGTCCAATTATCATATATTAATGTATTCAATTAATAAAATTTGCTTCAGCAAATGTTTAATTAAACAAAAAATTCGTATGTAAATATTATTTGAATTCGAACTTAAAAGAATATGTGTAATATAGAAATAAAATAGTCTAGAATAATAAGATACTGTCGAATTGTCTCAAGTAAACTCTGAGCGAATTTTATCAGGTTTTTCGCTCACGTTTTAGCATATTCATTACTATTATAATTAATTATAATGATAAGAATTAATTAATATGCATATATTAATTACTATATTATTAAAATTCAATTTAACATAATTCTTCCACAAATCAACTAAATAATTACTAATTTTAATTTCTCTTTTTAGCATACTGCACTATAATTAGATGGAATATTTGGTTCAAATCAAATTTATATTTAGTGAAAACTGGATCAAATTCGCTCAGAGATTGATTGAGCGATCAATTCATATATTCTATTTTACTCTCTAAATTTGAATCAGCGAAACGTCGCTAATTTGCAGCTATAAGTATGCAGCTGATTCAAACAGCGTATATACACTGATGAAATAGTGTATATGCACTAATTATCAATGTATATACGCTGTTTGAATCAGCTGCATACTTATAGCTGCCCAATCAGCGATTTTCCGCTGATTCAAATTTAGAGAGTACAAGAGACCAGAATGTTTTTGCTCATCTAGTTGTAAAAAAATAAACTTTTATGTGAAATAGCCAGCGATTTCTAATTTTTTTCAAATATATATATAATAGAGTTAACACAGTGGTAAGAATAGGTTTTCAACATATGTTGCTCTCCTATAACTAAATGTCCCTTTTCTGTCCTTGTCTTACAAACGTGATTCCATATATATTATATGTACGTTAGAAAAGGACAAAAAGAAAAGTATAGGCCTAAAGGATCTTTTATGGTTTTATGGCTTTTCATTGCAAAATTAAAAATTGTTGCATGTGAAAAAAATAATTTTTAAATATTATATTCGTAATGTACATGTTAATACAATTACAACGATATAAAATTTTTTGCAAATATTTTTAAATTATTGAGAATTAATTTTAATTAATGGAGTATTTATTGTATAATCATTATGTAATTTTAGAGTTTTTACATAATGTTTTATATCATTGGAAACGTTAAAATCTATAAATTACAAATATAACATTTAAAAAAATATTTATTTAAATTTAAATAATTTTTTATTTTGCATTAAAAAGTCATAAAACCTGATGGACCCTCGAAAGGACCCTTCTATTGGAAAAAGGGAATATATAATATAATAGAGTTATATGGTGGGTTTGAGTGGCCTTGGTACCTCTCTTGGAACCCTTTTTACAAAAAAAATGAAACGTAGTGAGAAATAGTCACTTTTTAGAAAACGTCAGGCCCATAAAAACTATTTAAGTCAGAATTAGTCAGCAGCATCACAAAACATCAAAATAGTCTCAAAACGTCAGGATTTCTGACGTTTTGAGACTGATTTCTGATTTTATTTTTAGCAGGGTAATGTAGTAACTCATTAGTTTTCACAGGTTTCCACAACACTATTCACATTTGATAAAAACTTAATTATTATTTAATAATTCGTATTGCAAACAATAAAATTAAATCAATTTTACACTTTTTTATAAATATCAATTGTTTTTGCAGTTAATTTATATTCTTTTCATGAAAATAGCACGAAAATAATTGTACAGCTGAACTGATCAGGTACCTCGCGCACATTTCCATTCATTATTAATTATTTATTGCTTTATTAATTACAAATTTTGTACGAATTTACTCTATAAACATTCATTTACCCTTTTATCAACTTTTTTTTATCATAATAAGTCGATTAATAGCTTTTTTATACGTTTTTTTACATGTCTACCTAATGTCTACCTAAAGTCCGCTTAGTTAAGTAGACATTACGCAAATCGAATCCGCCAGGGTATTGCTTTTAATAATGCATATAATGCTTCTTCTGTTGGTGCTGTAATCAAAGTCGTTTTTTTCTCCGCACAGCAAAGTTGACAACAATTGTCAGAACTAGCCTCAAAACAATTTCCAGAATTTGTGATATTTTTTCGTGCTTCTTCTATGATTTTATTTCTAATTGCATCAGAGACTCCCTTTCCTAGGGATATTTTGATATTTTTTCGTGCTTCTTCTAGTGCCTTAAATCCTGCTATGGTTTTATTTCTAATTGCATCAGAGACTCCCTTTCCTGGGGCTAATTTAATTGCTGATAATTCATCACCTATTGCTTTCAATAATGCATATAATGCTTCTTCTGTTGGTGCTGTAGTCAAAGTCGATTGTTTCTCCTCACAGCAAAGTTGACAACAATTGTCAGCATCAGAACAATTTCTAGAACTTGTGATATTTTTTCGTGCTTCTTGCTTCGTGCTGTTTCGTGCCTTAGAACAATTGTCAGAACTATCCTCAGAAGAAAGACAGTTACTGTCGCTAGAATTACATGTTTATAATGAGACATTATTGAAAAAAAAATGTTCCAAATTTTTAAAGAACAGCCCTCCCAGCATAATTATTCAGAACAACCATTTAAGTTATCATTTGAATTAACGAGTACTAACGCAACGCTTTAAGGGATTGGTCGCAGTCAGATGAGGGAAAAATGTGTGTTTTTTGGGAATTTTTCTCTAAAAATTTGTGCATAAAAAGTCCACACTTTTATAAAAAAAAAAAAAAACTTTTAAATTTTATTAAAGTATTATTAATAATTAAAAGAAAAACAGCGATTTTGCTGTAAGATGATCTTTTTAAAGGTTTTTGCGGTGACCACTCCTGTTCCTCATCGCGTTATTTGAAATTAAAAAATTAAGATTATTTATTTAGTTTCAACACTGCTTGATCGTAGCTTTTTAAATAATAATACTATTTTTAATAAAATGGAGACCGGTTAAACTCAGATTTCGATAAAAAAAAAAAGTTTTGAATGAAATTAAAAAATCTACGATTGTAAGAAGATTTTGCAAAAAGTTTTAGAATAGACCTAAATTCACTTTACTCAAAAAAAAAGAAAACATTTTGATTTAAAAATTAAAAAATTTTTTTTTAACAAATTATTTCAACAAAAACTTTTATTAGGACCACTCTGAAACATTTTACAAAATGTCAATATTTTTTCAGTGATGAATTTTAAAAAATAAATGGAAATGTATAAAAATAAAAGCAATCCTCTAAAATATAGATTATTATTCGTTATAAGTTCTATAACTAAAAAAACTTTGCCTTATAATTTTCACAAAAAAAATTATTTAATTTGATAATAAACTTTAATTACCAGTCATGTGAGTTACCGATTATCACCTTTAAATTTTGCACCTAAAAATAAAAAACACTGTACAATTAATATTGAGATTGAAAATTTTCAAAAACAAATAAAGATTAAGTTTTTTCAATTTTAACCCTTCGAGGTCACACTTTTATTTTTTCGATCGCGAAGCTCACACTGGGTGGTTGCCACCCGTAGTCAGTATTAAGTGGCTGTAATTTAGAAATGGTTAAATTACAGAAACCAGAAAATTTTTTTGATACATTTCAATGCTTTAAAAATTTGTTTCCATATGTTTTGTAAAAAAAATGTAAAATCTGTGTTATCGAAAAAATTTCATGAATCTTTCAAATTTTCCAAAAAAATATCAAAAGTTGAAAATATCGATGGGTGACAACCACCCAGTGTGACCTCGAAGGGTTAAATAATTATTTTTATACAAATAATAAATTATAATAACAATTATTTTAATACATATTACACTGGAAACTCCCAAGAGTGTACGGCATTAGTCTTAGTCCGCTCTACGGAAAAATGTCCTTGACGTGGAATACGATAAACACTCAGGGCCGTACAATGAACTACCAGTGCTTTTAGCAAAATACATTCTACATATTATTATAAATATTAATACATTTTGTTTTTATAGTAAAGTATTGTAAGTTGTCATTTTATAATTAATATTTTTTTTCAAAAATTTAGTAATTAATAAGCCAATAAAACTGCTTGCAAAGTAACGGTACACTCAAAGCAGACGCTCCTGCTTTCTGTTTTCTGTTTCTGATCCCGCCCATCTCTTCCCTCCTCACTCTTTACCACTTCGCGCTGATAGTTCGTCCGCTCTCGGGAGTTTCCAGTGTATTGCTTTAAGGGGTTACATCTGGTTAGAATTTTTTTTTTTTGCATTTTTTTTATTGACTGAAATTGCGTCAAAACATTCCTAGATTAATAATCAATAACGGCCAAGCATGAAAAGACTTCAGAAATGCTCTAAAAATTGGTTTTTGTAGAGCAACTTTAAGATGTTAAAAGAGCGAATTTCGAGTATATCGTTAACGCACAATCATGTGCGTTGCAATTAAGTGTTTACCGTTGATATTTTGATTTCGTAATTTATTTAAACCTTCTGAATCATGAGTGATAAAGTGTATAGTGGCAAGAAAGGCAATAGGGGCGGATACACTCAAAATCAAAATGAGTCTTTTAACTCAGTCGTATGGGCCATCGCTCCAAAATCGATGTCAAGCGGAAAGAAAATTCTCGATATAGCGACTGATATCTCCACCATCACTTTCAACGAGGGATTATCCGGCTTATTTTCCATCTACGATGCACTAGGCATGACAGTTGGGCGTTTTTTACTCGACTTCTGTATGGAATCGGACGCAAATCGCATTAAGGCCGCTGAACACTCGATTTCAGAAGTCGAGAAAATGGCGAGACGCAGTATTACTTCGTCGAGAAAGGAACAAGAGGACCAAAATTCTAATTTGGAAGGGCAGTTGTATGGTGCTGGGATAGCAGAGTGAAGGTAAAAAATTATTACAGACCATATTATCATGATTTCAAAAAGTTGTAGTGTTCTTAAACTTTAACTGCGATTTTCTAGAAACCACATTTTTGAAATCTGCACGCAGTAGAACTCGAAGAGTTTTTATCCAAATGACTTGAAATTTTAACTGTAACTTCTTAATTAGATTATCTAAAGAAGTACACACGATTTTTACAGTGGATGAAAAAAATTTTTTTTTAGAGATATTTGGATAGCGATTTTTTGGTCAAAAAATCGATTTTTTTTTCAAAGTCTCGCCATTTTTCGAAAAAATTTTATAAAATTATAATCGTGTGTACTTCTCTAGACAAACTCGTCTAGTTTATGAAAAAAAAAATTTTATGCTTGCAGATGATGGTGCAGGAGACTTCTACTGCGTGCAGCGGAGCCATATTTTTAAACATCACTTTATATTTATCTATCGGAAGCCGCCATTTTGTTTAATTTTGTCAATAAACAATTTTTTTAATATACCTGAAGAGTTGCTTAATTGATCTTTATAATATTTGTTTATGTTTATTCAAAAACCTACTCAGAAAAAAAATTTGAAAAAAGCCTATTTTTTAGGCCTCCAACCAGATGTAACCCCTTAAATTCTCACATTACTTATGTGACGATTACTGAAGCAAAGGTGACGCTAATAGGGCATTTACTTTATATATGGAGGAAAATTCCTGAAGTGAACCGATATAAAAAAAAAAGTTTTTGGATCGGGCTAAAATTTTTCCTCAATTTAGTACTATGGGTGAGTACTTCACCCACCAAATATTATTAAGTTTTATCAAAAACTGTAGAGGGGGGAGGGGGTTGTAGTTTTCAGTCAAGCGTCAACATTGAGTTTTTCTAATAATGGTAGCTATTATATACTGAAATGAAAAAAATTTTGACATATATGTTTTCGAAAGGTTTTTTCCTGCTCTTTCGAATGGTTTTAAAATTTTTTGAAAAAATTCAAAATTTGACCCGTTTTTTTGAAAATTAAAAATATTTTTGACTGTATCTCAAAATCGGCATTTTTTTTGAATTTTTTTTTTTTGAAATAAATCTTAAAATATGTACTTTTAGTAAAAAAATTTTGGAAATGTCCTTTTTTTTGTTTTCCAGATATAAATAAATTTATTAACAAAAATTATTAAAAAATGAAATATTTCACAAAGGAATAAGTTTAAGGTAACTCTGAGATTAAAATGGTTAAATTCCGCATCCAATGAGCCCTATATGAAGCATTTTGGATTAATAGATTATAATTAATTAATTAACTAGCAGTCATTGATAATTATTTATTAACAATCTGTTAATTCAAAATACTTCACACATAGCTCATTAGATGCGGAATTTCATAAGCTTTGAAATATTAATCTCAGAGTTACCTTAAACTTATTCCTTTGTGAAATATTTCATTTTTTAATAATTTTTGTTAATAAATTTATTTATATCTGGAAAACAAAAAAAAAGGACATTTCCAAATTTTTTTTACTAAAAGTACATATTTTAAGCTTTATTTCAAAAAAAAAAAAATTCAAAAAAATGCCGATTTTGAGATACAGTCAAAAATATTTTTAATTTTCAAAAAAACGGGTCAAATTTTGAATTTTTTCAAAAATTTTTAAAACCATTTGAAAGAGCAGGAAAAAACCTTTCGAAAACTTATATGTCAAAATTTTTTTCATTTCAGTATATAATAGCTACCATTATTAGAAAAACTCAATGTTGACGCTTGACTGAAAACTACAACCCCCTCCCCCCTCTACAGTTTTTGATAAAACTTAATAATATTTGGTGGGTGAAGTACTCACCCATAGTACTAAATTTAGGAAAAATTTTAGCCCGATCCAAAAACTTTTTTTTTTATATCGGTTCACTTCAGGAATTTTCCCCCATATGTATAATATATTTGTTCAAAAAATATCGTATAAAATTATATAATGTTCATATTTAATCTGAACAATTATTTTATTGATGCAAATTTAATTAACTTACAATTTCAAAATATAAAAAATATCAAATACCATACATTTACCAAAATGTACAATACAATCATCAAAAACTACTCAAATTATAGGAATTAAAAATTTATGCAATTATTAAAAAACCACCATAAAAATGGTTAATATTAACTAATAAATACTTTATTAAATAAACTATTGATTACCATTATTTAATTCCTATATTCAAGATCAGGTTCAAAAAACAGAAATGATTTGATTGATTTTTGAAAATTTTATAACAAATTTACGGGCGTTTTTACTGTAAGTTTCGTGGACTTTTGAGCGACCGTTAAATATTTTTCAATTTAAAAAAAAACATATACAAGTATATGTTTTTCACTTTGGGATAATTGTGGGGATATCAAAGCAACATATTTTTGACTGTTGTCATTTTGGACCGTTCTAGAATATATTTATATATGATACAAAGATTATTAGAAAATAAAAGAAAAATTAATAAAAAAAAATTACAATGTTCACTGGAAATTTATTGGCGCCTGTATGAGAAGAAATCAAAGTAATAAGCAGAATGCCAAACAATATGGAAAATAATTGAAAATTATTCATTTTGTTTGTTATACAATGTCTCGTACTTAAATAGTATTTGTTGTGTTTGCTGTCGGTTTTTAAATGCGAAAATCCTTCTATGTTCTGCAAAAATTTGATAATAACTTTTTAAATAATTTATTTTGTTCTCCAAATTTAAATTTACGGCTAATTTTCCGAATGATATTTCTGTAGAAAAAATTAATTTAACATGCAGATTGAGATACACCTAGTAATTGTGTTGATTTTGATGGGGTTGAATTTATAATCTGAATCGCCCTGTAAAAAAAGTATTGGGAGGTACCGATTTACGCATCGAGAGTATCAACCTGCCAATGCAAGAAGGCAAGAAGGAGTGTATTAAAAGGTATTAATTAGCATTGAAAAGAACAGACAATCGAATGCCTTTAAATGCTAATTAATTCCGTTTCTTTCCGGAATCCTAGTTAATGCCTTCGGTAGGTTATAAGTCTGCCTCGTTTCAATCCTTTTGAATCCATACAAATTTTGTGTAAAATTTAAATGCCATTCAATGCCTCAATAAAGGGGTCATCCATAAAGCATGTGATACATTTTTTCAGAATTTTAACACCCCCCCTCCCCCTTGTGATGCTTTTTCCAATACCGATTAATATGGAGTGTGATATTTTGCTGACCCCCCCCCCCTACCCCCTAAAGTATCACATGCTTTATGGATGACCCCAAAAATTAGAAATTGAATGAAGTCAATGCCATCCAATGCTGTTCGTATTTAATCTCTTTTAATAATTTTTCAAGGAGTGGGCGTCTAACAGAATGATTTCTTATTTTAATCCCTTTCATAAATTTATTTATTTTAATGCCTTCTATAGAAAGAAAGTGCTATTCTACAGTTGAATATTAGAAATTAATTGATTACAAATTAATTTGAATGACCATATTTTTGGTAAAGTGGTTAAAAAGACGAATGCCAAATAATATTTTTTAATAGATTAAATAATTTTAATTACATTTATTGGTTTCTAATTTTATAAATTATCTAAAAATCAATATCTTTTATAATTATAAATGTCATTCAGCAAATACAATTATTATTTAAGAATAATTAATTTTAATTTAATGCCTTTTGATCTCTACTAATACTCTTGTAAGGATTCAAAAGTATTTGAAAGAAAACGGAATTAAAAGGCATTGAAAAATTACAATCCATTTTAATCCCTTCCTTCTTGCCGGGCGGTATTCGTGAAATACCGCATTGGGTGTCACAGTGAATGCGTAAATCCAAGAGTCCCAATGCGGCGAAAATTTGAAGCTTTAAAAAAAACGAAACGACGTACGTTACAAGAATAATAAATAAGTGTAAGTTGTGAAAAATAAAAGGTAAAAAAGTGAAACAATACTAATGGTTTCAATGAAATATGGTGAGATGAAATGTCAAATACGAGTCCAATGCGGCATATGGTGGTTTCAATGCGGTGCAGTGACGTAGATACGTAGAGCGCGCAGCACAGCGGCGCTTTCTTTTTTACCGACAGCGGGTTCTTTGTATGTAGATGATAATTTTGAAAATGAAAATTTTTTAATAACTTTCTTTTTATTTTAAATATTATGAAACAAGAATTTAATATAAAAGTAATAATAAAAAGTAAGTTTTTAGTAAAGAATAAATATCGATATAAAAAAATAATTTAAAATAAAATGTTATAAATTTATAATAAAAAATTAAACTTTAATTTTAATAATATTTTTAATTAATTCAATATTGTTATTGTTTGTAGTTTTTATTACTAATTTAAATGAAAGTTCGTCTTGCCCGTGATAAATATTATTATTAATGTTAATTAATTACTGGAAATTCATATATAATATTTACAATGAATAAATATTAAATTAATTTATCATTTTATATTACTTAATTAAAATATCTTCTCTATTATTAATTAATATTGTTTTTCATTATTTTCAAAATTATCACCTGCATACAAAGAACCCGCTGTCGGTAAAAAAGAAAGCGCCGCTGTGCTGCGCGCTCTACGTACCTACGTCACTGCACCGCATTGAAACCACCATATGCCGCATTGGACTTGTATTTGACATTTCATCTCACCATATTTCATTGAAACCTTTAGTATTGTTTCACTATTTTACCTTTTATTTTTCACAACTTAAACTTATTTATTATTCTTGTAATGTCGTTTCGTTTTTTTTTAAACTCAAAATTTTCGCCGCATTGGGAATCTTGGATTTACGTATTCACCGTGACACCCAATGAGGTATTTCGCTAATACCGCATTGGCAGGTTGACACTTCCAATACTTTTGGGGTTGATAGTAATTAGAATATATTTGAGAATTCTAGTATTTTTATGAAATTTATTAAAACGTTTTAAATATTTTTGTTTTAGAATAAATATCAAGTTTTCCAAATAAAGTTCAGTACGTGATTGTTAAGGTTTGGTAATTAAAGAAGGGATGGTTTTTAAAAAAATATATCAATAGAAAACAAAGTTTTAGAAATGTAGCAAAATAGAAAAGAAAATTAAAAATTATATCTTAAGGGGGTAGTCTGGTGTTTCGATGCCTTTTTGGGAGCTTATTTCAGGATTTTTTTTTATTATAAAATAAAATATAATCACACCAAATCTTCTTACTTCGTTTTATTCTAATCATGAAGTGTTGAAAAAAATTATAATCGATTATTTTTTACTAGATTTTGTTATTTATATTTAATATTAATGTTTATAACAAAAAAATGCTGGCGCAGATGATTTACAAAAATTTATCCGACCGATTGCTCCAATTTTTTTACAGCTTATTCTACACAACCATGGCTCTGGCCCATACTAGAATAAAACATTTTTGTTAATAAATAACAAAATAGCGGACTATATAAGCAAAAAGATTCAAAAATTGTCTCTTTTTTATTGACAAAAAGTTAAAAATAAAAAAAAGTTATCATTAAAATTGCGTAATTCTAGTACGGGCCACAGCCATAAATCCAGCCATACTTGTGTAAAATAAGCTAAAAAAAATTGGAGCAATCGGTCGAACAGATTTTTGTAAATCACCTGCGCCAGCATTTTTTTGATATAAACATTAATATTAAATATAAATAACAATGTCTAGTAAAAAATAATCGATTATA